AAATTAATTAAATAAAAATATATTTAATTAAATAATAAAATTTAAAATTAAGAATTTAAATAATAAGAATAAATATAATTAACTTTAGTAATATAAAAGAAATAATAAATTTTCTAATTATTATTCTAATTATAATTATACTTTTAATCTTTATAAAGCTTCTTTTAATAATTTAGCGAATCTTTTAATTCTAAAATAATAAAAGAAATTAAAGTTTAAATATTTTATAATTATTTAAATAATTTATAATATTCTTTATTTTTTCATGAGAGCTATTATATATAAGTGATATTTTTTAATAATTAAAATATATTATAATACTTAGAAGTATTATTTATTAATAATATTTTATATTTTAATAATAGTTTTTTATATAAAATATTAAAAATATAAATTTAAATAGATTAGATTTAATTTTAAAGAAGATTTTAATATATTAAATTAGATTAAAAGAATTAATAGTATTTTATATAAAAATTTAATTAATAATTATAATAATTATATTAATAAAAATAATAAACTTATAAAAAATATTTTAATAAATTTAATATTTATTAATTTATTAAGATATATCGCTAATACTCTATAATATATAAAGAAATAATTAATAAATTTATAATTAAAGAGAATTAATAATAATAAATTTAATTTTAATAAAGAGATTTAGAACAATTTAAAACGTAAATTTATTTATAAATAGCTAATAAGTTTAATTAAATAGAGATAAATTTAAAATATTTAAAAGAATTATAATAAAATAAAATAAAAAAGAAATAAAGAATTTAAAAGAAGAATAAATATAAAGTTTATTAAGTTTATTTATCGCGTTAAAATAAATATATAAATAAAGATAATTATAAAATTTTATCTCTTTAATATTTAAAGATTTAAAATTTAAAATATTATTTTATATTATAATTTTAAAAGAAAGAATAAAATATTTATAATTTTAATTTTAATTTTAATTATTACTATTAATAAAAAGATAAATAACTATATTAAATTACTCTTTATATTCTCTCTCTCTTAATAAAAAATAATAAATATATTCTATATATCTTAATCGAATTAACTTATAAATATAGAAATCTTAATTAAAATATTCTATATATATATTATATTATATTATATCTCGCTAAGATCTTAAATCTATATTAGAAAAATAATATAATATTTAACTATATTTATATTATATTCGAGTATAATATAATATTACTTAATATGAAATATCTTATAGAATATATTATATCTTTTCGGCTAGTAGAAATTATTATAGAAGACTATAGTAGAGAAGATTATAAAGAATACTATAGAGAAACTTAGCGATAGTAAGATCTCTATCACTAAGAATATAACTTAGCTCTCTATAATTTCGTATTAAATTATTACTTAGTAAGCGGAGAATACTACTATAATTTAATCTATTATTTCTACTATATTAATATAATATATTACTATAATAATAATATAGAAGAAGAATTTATTATAATAATTATAATTAAATTATTATAGTTAATTAAATCTCTATAAATTAAATAATATATATTTAAACGAATTAAAATCGTCTAATATCTTACTTTAATAGTTATTTCGAAAGATTTTACTATAATAGAAGAACTCGTAGAATATATACTCTTCATTAGCTCGATATCTTCATTTCTTTTCGATTTTACGTAAAGTATATATGCGTATATACTTCTTATTATGAGAATATAACATTTCTCTATTTTTTATAGGTAATTATTATAAGATATCTTAGAGATACTTATAGAGTTACTAGCGTAGGCTTAATATCGTATATATCTATCTATAGATTATATAGATTAATTAATAACTTTTATATTATATATATATTATTAAGTTAAATTATAATAATTTCTTAATAATATCTCGATATTTAGATATATATAATCTTTTTTAAATTAGAGAATATCGTATATAGAAGTTAAAAAGAAGAGAAATAAGATTATATAATAAGTAATTAATAGATTATAAAAATATTTATAAAATATTATTAACTTTTTATAGCTAATTCGTAAAATCTTCATCTATATTATCTTTTTATAAGTTTAATTTTTATATATCTTCTAATAATTATAAATCTAATTTAATTTATTATAATATACTCTTTAATTTTAAAATTAATCTAAGTCGAGATTTATATTCTTTAATCTTATAATTATTTATTATTATATAAAGAGCTAAATAATAATCTAGCTATAGCGATTAATACTTATATAAAAAATAGCGAGTAATAAGTATAAATTAAATCTTTAATAATAAAGAAAAGTATTATATTATTTAAGTATAAAGAGTAAAAGATATTTTTCTAAATCTAATAGGCTTAATTAATATTAAACTAATATATAGTATTCTTTATATAAAGAATAAATTTAAATTAAAGTTATATATAGTATTCTTGATATAATAAATCTTATCTTTATATAAAGTAGAGATTTATTATATTAAGAACGCTATATTTATAGAAAAAAAAGATATACTAACTTATCTTAATCTTCTATATTATAATATAATTATATAAAAGTTAATTTATATAAATTAAATTTATAATTTCTAATATTATTTTTAGAATACTAGAAGAGAGTATATAGCTTTCTCTATATAAACTTCGAATAATAAGACTACTTATATATTAGATATATATTTTAATTATTTATATAGTATATAACTTTTATATAAATAGTAGAAAAGTAGATTATAAGAATTATAACTCGATCGGCTAGAACGTCTTTAAAATACTTTCTAGTTTCTTAAAGCGTATTAAAGAACTTTATTTACTTTCTAAAAAGAGATTTAATTAGTTAAGTTTATTAAGACTTAATTCGTTAATTAAAAGTATTTATTTCGTATATATAATACTCTTTAAAAGCTATTTTTAAATTATATATCTATTATAGAGTAAGATATATCTACGCTATTAGAATAGTCTCGCTCTTATAATTAAATTATATAAATTAAGATTATTATTTAAATATAAAAATATAATCTAGAAATTCTTATAGAATATTAATAGTTATATAATTAATAATATCTATAATAAGTTATAAAATATATTAAGTATAATTATTTATTTCGCTATACATTTTAATATTATAATCTAAAAGCTTATTATAATTATTTATAGACTATATTAAATTTAGATTAAAAATAATATATTTATCTCGCTTTCGCTATATATCTCGAAGTTATTAATTAATAATATTAGAGAGAATTATATAATATTAAATAAAGAGATAATCTCTAAAATACTTTAATATATATAAAAATAATTAAATTTATATAAAAAATATCTTATAATTAAATATCTTAGTTTTCGAAAATATTTTATTAATTATTCTTATTTATAACTTTAAATTATATTCTTATTAAGCTTCTATTTAATTAATCTTTATAAGACTTTATTTATATACTCTCTCTTTTTTTAATTTAATTCTAATCGCTTAAAGTCGAGCTCTTTTCTAATTTATATAAAATTTTAAAATATAATTTAAAAGTCTTTAATCTTTAATTAGTATATATAATAGAATAAGATAGAGCTAAGCTTAAAAATCTTAAATTTATATATATAGCCAATTATAAATTCGAGGTTATTACGTCTTTTAACTAGATCGGCTAAGTTACCGCGGGTAAATAAATTAGCGTTCACAATTATTAAAATCTCTTATTCTACTTTTAACCCTTTAATAACTTTATTATTTTCTATTGAATTTTTTAATTTTTTTTTAAATTATAGAACGAAATATGGGCTTTTAGATAAAAAAAGAATTTCTAAATTTAGTCTTATAACTATTAAAGCGCAAGGAATTCAAATATCGCTTATTAAAGTTCGCTCGACAGCCGAACAGCCTTAATTAGATACACATTATTTGATTTTAGAATAACTTTTTTATTTTCTATTAAAATTTTAAGATTTTTTTTAAATTATAGAACGAAATATAAGTCTTTGGATAAAAAAAGAATTATTAAATTTAGCCTTATAAATATTTAGGGGTAAAGAATTTAAATATCGCTTATTAAAGTTCGCTCGACAGCTCTAATTAAAAGAAATAATTATAAATTTAATTTATAGACCTTTACTCGTTATATAAGTATTTTTTTATTTAAAACTTTAATTCTATAAAATAAATATTAAATCTAATTTTATAATTACTCGAAGTCTTTTATATAATCTTATTAATAAGAGTTTTATTCTTTTAATTAATATTAAAGTATATAAATATTAATTTTTAAATCTTTATTATCTACTAGCTAGATAATAATCTTCTATTATTTTTATTACTTTATATAAAATTAATTAAGAATCTTATCTTTATACTCTTCTAATTCTTTAAATAAATAATTATTAATACTATAAAGAGATATTATATATAAGATTCTCTTAATAGGAAGTAGAATATCGTATAAAAGAGATAGATAGGTGAGATTATCGCAAAAAGAAAAAAAAAGGAGGAAAAAAAATAAAAAATAAAAAACCTTTTGGTTTTGTCGTAGTGTCAGACCGAGGCCGGTTTAGGCTAATTCGCAACCCCCGAGCTGATTCGCAACCCCCGAGCTGATTTCGTAACCCCTCAAGCGAATTCCGCAACTTCAAATACCGGGTGCCATTCGGGTGCATGCTTGATACCCTTAGGTACTGAACCTCAGCGCACTATGGCAAATTACATTTTCATACCCCATGGAATGGCAAATTACCGATTCATATCCCATTGGGGTATAAGAATGTATTTAGGAGTATGAGTTTATAAGGATTCAAGGTTTTGGGGTATGAATTTGTAATTTACCCAGCCATTAGCACACTGACTTCGCCTCATTACTAGTCTCTAGGAGAATTTTGTATGACGTGTCAAATATTCTCCCATGAGGCATAAATCTTTAATTCTTCTACTAAAATCATATTTATTGAAGCACTCTTTCGCACGTCAGTCAGTCCTCCTACAAGCCGACCTCTCGGAAACCTCAGCCAACTCGAAAAGCAACCACTAAACTTCGAATCCCTTTTCCCTCAACATTTTCTCACTGGCCTTCCACAGCTTTTCCTCTATGTTCTTTGGCTGCCATTTTCGAATCAGTGCATCGCCCCTCTTGTCCCTTTGTCCGAAGGGACCAAAGAAAGCTCCACTTCCTTCTACGATACCCCTGACTTGGTCAGCTAAGATTCTTTTTTCGACAAGGGGTGAGCAAACGAGTTACTTGTCTTCACCAGTAGCACAAGCGAGAGTTGTCCTTGCTCCATCTTCCCTTCCCAACTTGCCTGGTACCAAGCCCCACTTGACTGAGAATTTGACGATCTTGCCGAGTATTGTAGGGTCGGCAGCTTGCAGATTTGTCTCAATCACACCTGGGTGAACGGCGTAGGCTTTTATAGCAAGATTCTGACTTGTGAAAAACGTATGTAAGCGGTGGGTCAGAAGGACAATTGCAGCTTTGGAGTGGCAGTAACGCTTCCTGTATTGTAGGATGTCAGCGTTTCACGAATCGAGACTGAGGCCAATACAATGAAGCACTGTCCGGCAGCAAGAACGAAGTTTCTCAGTAGGGGAAAGGGTTGAGAGATGTACCAGGCAGCCATTACACCCTTTAGGTGATCGAGATTTGGGTTCTCAAGGTCGCAGTCGGGCGTTATAGCGACGAACGCTGCATCACTTGATACGTTCACAATTCGAACGCGACCTTGAGAGGTAGTTCCAGCGGCAGTGGAACATAGAACTGGGAGAAGAGACTTGATCAAGAAAAACGGGGAGAGATAGTTGGTTTGCCATTGCGTCTCGTAACCATCGGGGGTCAAAGCGTATGGCACAGCCATGATCTAGCACCGGAAATCGAGCTGTATGTCAGCAATTTTTTCAAGGCAAATTCAAAAAATGATTGTAGACTTTGGAAAGGATGAAGAATTACACCAGCGTTATTGACGAGGATGTCGAGTCTCGACTCCGTTTCTTTGAATCTCTGGGCTGCTTCATTGACACTGCCCAGACTCTGAAGGTCTACTTGCAAGAAGTGCAAGTCAAGCTCTTTACCAGGTGTAGATTTTTGCATGTTTGAAATGGCTTTCACCGCTTTTTGCAAGGATCGAGACATGATGTAGACTCGTGCTCCATGTATAGCTAGCTGGTAACTAGCCACATAGCCAATACCATCACTACCTGGACACGAGGGAAAACGTTAGATAGCACTTGATCGAGCTTCGTAAGAGGGAAAGTACCTCCAGTGACGATGGCGATAAAGCCAGCAAGAGATGGCATGTCATTGACGGAGAACGCTTCCTTTCTGGTCGAAGCCATACTCGTTCAGAGGGATTTAGTTCGTAATTGGTTCGATTCCTATTGGCGCGGGTACAATGGTGTTGCGGTGCTTCTTCTTTTCTGGCAGCGCCAATAGCCCGGTTGCCGATGTTTCCCGTGGGGATCGTGGGTTCGAATCCCAGTTGTAACCTGGTCTGGCTTGAGTGCAGCAGCAGGAAGTGGTTATTCTTCGTGCGGGGGCACGAACCGTGGTTGTGGGTCGCGTTCAGAGGGATTTAGTTCGTAATAGGGTCGATTCCTATTGGCGCTGGTACAATGGTGTTGCGGTGCTTCTTCTTTTCTATACTGTTAGACAGGCTTATATGATTAAGTATAAGTAGGTCTAGAGTTATGTAGCAATGTGGAATTAGTAGTAAATATATATATATTCGTATATAGATCTCATAGTAGGACTAATTCTTAAGGAAGCAAGAAGAAAAACGGGGGGCATCGCTCCCTTAAGCTTCTATGCCGGGCTAATTACTGATTCATACCCCAAAACTATGAATGCTTACCGAATCATACCCCTCCTTGCCGAATCATACCCCTAGGGGTATGATTCAGTAATTCGCTATTACTTGGGGTATGATTCGTTAATTTGCAAAGGAGAGGATCCGCGACCTGCGCCATTCGACCATAGAAATAAGGGGATTTCTCTGACCGCACTTTTGAATGGGTGATCTACCAGTGTGTGTGTGTGTGTGTGTAGTTCCTACATCGGAGGGCCGTGCCCCTGTTCATACCCCTTCCCATTGAAAGGCGTAGCCTAGAGTGCAACCGTTTTTACCCACTCGGCCTTACGGCCATGTCCGGCATCCGTCCCATTTGAGGTACGACAGATAATCGTGATCCCGTAGGATCACGGCTATATACATTATACTAAGGAATTTCAAAGCCTCATCTACAATTCGGGAAGCTAGCCCGAGATTTTGAATTTGCCGGGTACGCTACTTGTACCCGAGGCTGTCCGGGACTATCTCAGGCCGATTTTACAACTTTTTAATTTCGAGTACTATCCTATACTGCCCGAATACTATATTCGATATCGAGTATATTCTATTATTAAAAATTTTTAAAGTTTAGAATCTTAGTTATAACGAGAGAACTCTGAGAATATATTTCTTAATATTACCTCGAATTCGATCTCGAAACTAAGCGATTTAGATAATTTTCTCGCGAGAATATTCTTAATAACGATCTCGAGATATTACGTATACTATTATTAATAACTAAGAGTATTAATATAATATATTAATAATTCTTAATATTTCGAAGTCTTAGAGAATATTATTTCGTATCTCGATAACTCTAAGAGTTATCGATTAAAACTTAAGTAATTAAAGTTACTCGAATATATTAAAATAGTATAAGTACTATAAGTAATATATATCGCCTCTATACGCTCTAGACGATTCTATACTATTAAAATTAAGTTTCTCGACTTATTAATACTTTATTATAATTAGATATTATTATACTCTATAATATATTTCGAAGCTTTTTTCTCGATATTTCTTAGAGTTAAGCTTTAATCTCTCTATTTTATATATATTTAAATACTTAATATTCTATTATATATGATTATATAAGAGAGAGAATAATAATATTTATTAAATCGAAGTCGAAAATATTCGAATTAAGCTCTTTCTTTAATTCTTAAAAAGATATAAGATTTAATTAAGATTTATTTATACGTCGATAGCTAATTAAAAGATATATAATTATTACTTATTACTTATTAACTTCGCTATTAAGAGAATATTTTCTAAATATATTAGATTTAACTCTCTTATCTAGTCTCTTTTCTATAAAAAATCTTTATATAATTCTTATAAACGAGTTAACTCGTTTATAGTCGAAGTCGAATATTTATAATATTTAGAGAAGAGTTATTAATTAATAAAAGAGAGAGATATAAGTTAATTAAGAGATTATAGCTCGTCGTTATATTAATAATATTAAATTCTTTAAAAAGAATATATTAACTCTTAATCTAACGCGTTTTATTATTTAATTTTCGTTTATATATAATTAATCGTTATCGTAATTAAAGAATTTGATCGTATACTTATATATAAATATACGCTCTCTTAAAATCTCTTAACTTCTTTAATATATTAAATTATAAGTTTATATTTATTATAACTAATAAATTAAGATTTAATTAACGCGTAGTAGCTATTAAATAGATATAGAGTAGACTTTCGAAGGTATAAAAATCTTTATTAGAGGGTTCGTAGTCGATATTACGTATAGATAAATTTTATTACTAGTCGAGAATCTATTAATAGTTTTAGTACTTAAACTCTATTCGAAAGAGTTAATAATAGTGGTGAATTAGAAAAATCTTTTTTCCGAGTCGAAATTTTATTATATCTACGTGAGGTCTTTCTGAGATTAATCTATTAGCTTATTAGATATATTAGACGAAAGTCGAGTAGACTAAATTTAATCTTTTAGCCTATCTGCACCTAGTCTATAGCTCTCACACACGCTCCGAACTTCAATCTTAATAGTCTACACAGGTATCCGATAAACGCCGAGAGATAATAAATTTCGTCCTATATTGCCGAGGTCTCGGCGTTTATCGAATACGAGTAAGTATCTGAGATTATACTCTTAATAAATAGTATAGATATAGTATTAATTTTAATAACTTATAGTTAATAGTTATAATATAACTAGAGACTATAATTATATAGTAATAGCTTAGACGAGCTAGAATAATTAATTTACTTAGCGTATATATAAAATTAATACGTCTAAAAGACTTAGATATAACTTTTAAAACTACTCGATTTACTATAGACTATAAGTTTAAATAAAATAACTCGAAGAGATAAATCTTTAATAATTTAATAAACGATTTTTATATTTATATTAAATCTATATCTATATATATATAACTCTTTTCTTATACTTTATTTATTATATATAAGTAAAGGCTATTAATCGAAAAGGTATGATATGGTATGGGATTTTAACCTGCCATATCATACTCTGATATAATATGAGTTATTAAGATTTGCATGATTTCATATCTAGTATAGTATGGGATCTTGGCGGGATATCCCACGGTATGGTATATCTGTGGTATTATATTATGAAATGGTATATGTATAGAATATCCCGTTAGGATTTCTATATTTAGAAGTATAAAGTAGCTATTCTAATTATTATTCTAATTAACGGTTAATCGTATCTACCTCTATTCGATATACTATCATGACTATCACTACTATAACTATTACTATTTATTATTTAAATAGTCTACTATTATATAATAGCTATAATAGTATAGTGATAGTTATAATAGTAATAGTTATAATAGTAGTAGCTATAATAGTAGCAGCCATGATAGATTAGAATAATAACTAGAATAGCTACTTATACTTCTAAATATAGAAATCCCAACGGGATATTTCATACATATACTATACCATGATATGATATCACAGATATATTATACCGTGGGATATCCCGTTAAGATCCCGAACCCATATTAGAAAAATGAAATAATATCCGACCCTATTCATATCATACCCGGGTACGGTATAATATCACTTAATATGAAATATTCTATGGAATATATTATACCTTTTCGGCCAGTAGTAAAGGCCTATAAATTAAATTTATAAAAAGTAATTAATTTTTAAATCTAATTTCGAGATTAAATTTAACTCTCGAAGAGTAAAAATATTTTAATTTAAGATTTACTTAGAACTATAAAATTAAATTTAATAATTCTTAAATTATTTAAAAGCGTAAATTATATTCTATAATTTTAAAAAAAGAATTAAAAGATTTTAATAGAAAAAAGAGAAGTTATATTAATAATAAGTTTATAGAGAGTTAATTAACTTTAAATTAATTTAAATTTAATTAATAAAAAGTTAATTTTAATATCTATTATAGTTTATATCTATAATTTTCTTTTATTTTTATAATTTATCGAATTTTTATTAATTTTACGAATTTTACGAATTTTACGATTTTTACGATTTTTTAAATTTTTTAGCGAGGGAGATTTACGGATTCGAATCGAGTACGAAGCGAAATAGTTTCGAAGTTTATTAAAATTATTACTACTCGACTATCTAAGCTTATATTAAAGAGTATTCTTAATAAAGTAGATAAGTTTTTAATAAGCGATATTTGAATTCTTTATCTTAAAACATTTATAAGACTAAATCTTATAATTCTTTTTTTATTTAAAAGTCCATATTACGTTCTAAAAGTTAAAAAAAAAATTAAAAAATTTCAATAGAAAATAAAAATGTTATTCTAAAATTAGATAATATATATCTTTTTTTGAATTAGAGCTGTCGAGCGAACTTTGATAAGCGAACTTTAGTAAGCGATTTTTAAGGTCCTTACCCTTTAATAATTATAAGATTAAATTTTAAAAAAAGTTTATTATTAAAAAGCGCAAGTTATAGATTATAATTTAAAAAAAAATCTAAAAGTTTTAATAGAAAATAGTAAAGTTATTAAGGGGTTAAAAGTAGAATATAAGATTTTTTAATAATTACGAACGCTAATTTATTTACTTACGATAACTTAGTCGATCTAATTAAAGAGCGTAGATCTAATAAATTAATAATTTATATATATAGTTAATTATAAATTTGAGATTATTACGCCTTTTAACTAGACTATCTAAGTTAGCCCGCTAGCTCTTTCGAGACCTCTTATTAAAAAATAGATATAAGTTATTTATAAATAAAATAAATTTTTTATCTTTTATTAAAATTTTAAGATTTTTTTTTTAAATTATAAAGCGTAGTTTACGCTTCTTAACGTCGTAAGAATTATAAAATTCGATCTTATAATTATTAATAAGTAAGAAACTCAAATATCGCTTATTAAAGATCGCTTATTAAATTTATCTACAGCCCTAATTAAAAGTTAAAATATAGATATATATTATTTAATATTAGAATAACTTTTTTATTTTCTATTAAAATTTAATACTTTTTTTTAAATTATAAAGTATATTT